CGAGGCTATATTGCAACAACTAGACATTGGAATATTAATTCGTGACCACATCTGTAGTATACGAAAAAGGCTATCTCGAAAACAAAGCCAACTTGTATAGTTTAGCAAAGAATGATCTTATTCTGATACTTTTATTTTCTGAGACATTGTTGTCTTGCATTTACAGCTAATCAGGCAAACTACTGTTATTTAGTAAATTCTGCCAACCAATTTTTAAATAAAGAATACTGTATATAGTGTAAACAAGAATTTGATTTCAATTAAAAAATAAGCAAAGCACACGATAATTTCTGTCCTTAGATTTTCGTATTGAGTAATTTAACTTACCATACACCATGACTAAATTGAACCGTCTTATTATGGACTAAACTGGTTAGCTTCTTGTTTACACAAGGCTATAGAAATATGGTATTTATTAATTTATATTTTATTTACTAAATCATTAAGAAGATTAGTTGCCATGATACTTTATTTATTGGTTAGATACACAGCACTATACTTTAAATGTTGATTTGGTTTTTAAGAAATTAAGCAATATCAAAGCTTTTTTTCAGATGATTCATCAATAATTGCTCCAATCGTACCCTGATTAATTTTAAAGAAATTGAACGATATATCGATAGTATGGATGATGGCAGCATCGAAAATCTTGCCAGTAATTACTATAGTGATACTTTTAAATTACCGTTGATAACAATCTGGTGTTCTATCATCATTGCATACTCTTTAACTTTTTTTAGTCTACCAGCCAACTTATATATATTGCTTATTATTTACAAAAATAAACATTTAAGATCTTCCTCATACTATAGCTTAATAAACTTAGCGATAGCTAATATTTTTGTGGGTATTTTTTACCCTCTTCCACTCGTCTTTGCACTTTTAACCCAAGATTTAACGTTGCAGTACTCTAAAATTATGACAGGGATACTGTGTGGTTTTATTATACCTTTATCAGTAGTGGCTTTGTTTACAGCTAATGGCACCCTGGCTTTCATTTCTCTACAAAATTATTGCAAGTTATCAAATCATACTTTTACGGATTCAAATCGTCGACAAGCACGTCGTAAAACTATAACAATTTTGTCAGGTTTCTGGTTAATTGGAATTTTGCAATATTGGCCAAGATCTCTTATTGTCCTCAAGGACAGCTCTATTAACAATATGTGCGCGCTCTACACTAATTCATTAGCATCACGAAACATAACATTGATTATTTCCAGCTTAAATATAGTTATTCCATTTCTAATTATGTTGATCTGCTATATTAAGATTGCTAAGAAATTAAGGCGTAATTATCGGTTTTACATATCTGCAATTACGTTAAAGCAACTTAAGTTTAAAACATTAGGTCTGGATGGACGATGGAATCAACGCCTACTACATATAAATAAAATGTTAAAACATTTAATTATAGTGCAATTTATATGTTGCTTATTGTGGTTTACGGGCTTTAATTTTACTGTCATAGGTTACAGTTTAAAGTCTAATGCCTACTTGGTTGGATTTGCTCTTGCAATACAATATATTGCGATTTTAGCTATTGGACTTCACAGCCCAATTCTACACATTATATGTATTAAGAAATTTAGGAAACCTTTGATTTGTTACTTATCAGGTGCAATATCATACTGCCCATGTTTTAAAAATTAATGCTACTTTCAATAACAAGCTGAATTATCATCTATTTTAACCATGATGTTATCTTTATGTAGACAATATCGAAGTAAATGTATTAATGAAATGAGCGATGTGTTACTTGTAAGCTAACTTAAAATCAGCTTCGAAATCCGACACATTAAATTTTATGCTTCTAAAAGCTATAACTTTATTTTAAAGCTGAGAAAATATGAGAACATTCTAAGATGTAATATCATTAATATTGCCTTGCAGCTGTTTGAAGCACAATTTGTTAAAGTGTTCAGTATTACTTTGTTATAGCACAGGATATCTTTCGCTGGATGTTGATTTAGAAAACTAATCGAAATGCTCATAAATAATTTGATATTTAGCTTTAATACCTTAAGCTACCAGTACTTACGGTAACTAGATTAGTAGAAGTAGTTATTTGCCAATGCTAACATGATATAAGCAAGATCTCATAATAGACTTGTTAAAGCTAATTCATTATTCCATGGGAAAATTTTAATATTCATTAACCTTGACAAGAGGTGGTACCAATCATTGTTGGACCCTAGACGATATCCGGTCCTTCAGAAGAATAGCTCATACATTTTAATTCAAGACAATAATAATAACTCATATCGATGTGAAATGTAAAATGTTACCGAACGTATTGCCGGGCTTAAAAAAGAACACAATCATGATTAAGGTTATGCAACATAAAAGTAAAGGTCAAAATTTTAAACAAAAATATATTATTGATCATATCTTTAATCTGTATTCAATTTAATAAATCATAGAGCGTGTTTAATAATTATTAGTATATCTTGGCACACATGTGATGCTTATCTCTCTGAAAATAGAAGCAGAATTCTACGCTTAATTTACTTAATACTATATCACTGAAATTATTTAACTCTTTTGCCATCAAAAGTTAAGGAAGAAATTATATCAGATTTTAAAATAATTAAGGATATACTCGCACGCATAGATGTAATATACGATATACATAACCTTTAACATAAAATGTATAGCAATATCCAATCACCATTGGTTTCATCAGTATTGTAGATTATTGTACTACGATACAGGAATTTGAATGATATTTATTTCTATTTTATGATTTGTGGACTAAGCCATTCAATTTCAGTACCGTATATTTAGTCAGTCAATGGCTCGAAACTATAAAGTGTACTTCTCACCAGATAAATCGACAAGGATTCGATTAAAAGTAGTAAATTTGATATAGTTAATAGCATAAATTGTGTAGTCTGTAGAATACAACTAGTTGATTTGTTTTATTACTGTAGTATCACGATAGAACTTCCTTGTAGTTATAAATCGCACAATTTGATACAATAATGGCAAATTTTTAGAATTTTCCTTCATAAATTTTGTCATCAATGTATTAACTACTTGTATAAACTTGTTAACTGTAAATTCGAAACTTGTAATGAGGGAATTTATATGTTACGATCCCGAAATGTTAAATTGATGGTAATTATCTAGATTAGTACGGCATAATCTATCATTCGTTACAAAATTTTTAAGCTTTTCTTTAGAATACGGTAAAAGAGAAGCATGCAATATTGTAGACATAGCTGAAGTAATTTAGACATGAAAATACGCTAGCTGACGTAATTTGGATTTTACTGAGTTGAAGAGAAGTTTGACTTTACTAGATGAGATTCTAAGAATTCTTTGAATCAATACATAGGGTTGAAAGAGTTGCAGAAAATCATGATTGTAAATTTATGTTTATTATTAAATACGTGCACGCTTTCGTGAACTGGACCCGATTCGTAATATAAAGGCTACTAGAAATAAGAAACTACCGTATTGTATATAAGCCTTTCGTTAAGATAGTCTTTCCGATAAATAACCATACAAAGACTCAATGTACTGAGATCTTCTTTGGCTCGGATGTCAGAGTAACCATATACATCTCCCAAAGGACTAAGCTAGTACCCTCAGTTTTATTGAAAGATCAGTCAAATCATATTAATCGAAGGAACTTTAAAATATTTTTCATTCTTGATTGGGAAGCTAATTGCATAAGTTTATCGTTGAATTCAGCGATTAATATAAAAGGCGGATGCTCTTTAAAATCACGTTAGTTCAAAACCAGATCATTTTCAGATAGTGCAAATTACGCGTGTAATATTCTTTCCATCATTACTGATTATACACATTACTATCAAAATTGAGAGTAGGCTTCAATATTTAACGTATTCTGTTATATATGTTTTAATGAGTAACTTATATAATTAAGAATTTTAGACCAGTTTCATGCGTGGAAATCAATCCTCCATTGGTGGTCTATGAATCGAAATACGAAGAATATCGAATGTCTTTAATTTTCAACCTATGAACTGCTATGCAACGCTACGTAACGGCCCTCTAGTGTTTTCATAAAATATTTTTGCCAAACGTTAACCGATTCTTAATGTAGTCTACCGACTTGAATAATTCATAAATGAAGCCTTTTCTAATTTTAATTGGAAGCACACTATTACAGTTGTTAGTAACCACCTTTATCGATATGCGGGTTTTGATTTGCTAAGAGTGGTTCTCAATCATTTGCAGTGATTTATTGCTGGCCAAATCTACTCGATGGTTAATTTTAGATGTTATTTACACGTTTAAGGTACCTCTAACGAGAGAATCTGTGAAAAGTAGATCACTTTTTTGAAATTTTCTCCTAAACACCAGTGATCTATTCCTAAAATTTTAGCAATATTATTAAACTTTTTAAAGAAATATTTCGAGTACTTAGAAGAATGCCTAATTAAGCAGGTACCATTACCAATGTAAATCGATAGTATGATTAAAGACATGTGTATTGGTATTCACCTATTTATAAGGTAATAAACGAAAAAACTTGTATTAACCCTTTGTGATCCTTTGTAACTAGAATATACGGCTTAGATTTATGGCTTTCATTAATAAATCTACCTACTTGGTACTAGATAGAAAAATAAGAAATTAAGGAACTGCATTAGATATATTTGTTACTTCGTTTAATGTACAAGATGCTTTTTATACCTAGCTTGAAATCAACTAAAAGAGCAGTTACTGCCTCCATAGCCTTGATGGTTGCATTTTTGTTGTTTGTAAGCTACTTTCATGTTAGACGAATGATTTTATCGGCATTTCAAACCAGATGCTGTTTCAAATTCATCTTGTTAAGGCCAACAACCGATCTTCAGATTAAAACTAATTATGATATTTATACTAGTGTTGTTTCAACTAACCAATTAGTTAGCAACGAACGAAATATTTTCCGCGAAGTATCTGTAAAAGCTGCTTTGGAGATGATTGGTAATATCTTTATTTCTGCTTATGATGAACACATAAGTGCCAAACCCTGTAATTATTCTCCGTTTGTACTACTCATGATTAATAGTGCTGCGTTTCATTTCGACCGACGTCTTGGTATTCGCCAAACATGGGGAAATGCAAAGGAATTTAATGAGCGTTTTAATAGCAAGCATATTTGGAAAGTAATTTTTATTGTTGGACGTACAGGAAATGCTGCGACGGATGCTCGAGTCAAACAAGAAGCAATGATTTATGGTGATTTATTAGTCATGGGTAAAAAAGAGCACCATAAATCTTTAACCGAAAAAACCCTATTAGGTATGTTTTGGGCAAATCAAATTTGTCCAGCAAAGTTTTACTACAAGGGTGACGACGATGTATGGGTAAATAAGTGGAGGTTACTAGATTATTTATTTAAAATCAGTGCTACTTCAAGTTTTGATCCAGCCAATTGCTGGATTGGTCTTGTTTCTGCTGGCAGCAGTGCTCCAGTACGCCATAAAGGCAGTAAATATTATGTATCATATAGGGATTTCGCTGGTACACGATTTCCTCGATTCTGTTCAGGATTTAGTTATGTCATGGCTCGAGAAACTGCTAGTAAATTGATTCAATCGATACCGTTTCATCATAAGATTACAAGTATTGATGATGTTTACATTGGATTATTAGCTTCTTCGTCAAAAGTTCTACCAGTTCATAATCCAAGATTTCGACTTCGTACTTATGATGCTAGCAAACTCAACTATAGCGAAGCAATGGTTTACGATTCCATTACTGAACATGGTGTTCGCAGTTCAGAAATGATGATTAGATTTCAGCGGATGGCTAAAAATGTGTATATGTCTCTTATGAAAGAGAATTAAGTTGTAGAATGCCTAACTTCACTTAGCTTTTAGCTTGAATAATACTTTGAATCTCTTAAGAGAATTAATATAGTTTCATGGAATACCACTCTCACGTTTAAAACCTGTTCCAATGTTCCTTATCCAGACCAACTATTACTTTGCATATTATTCTGGCCAAGATAGAATTTGTTCATACTACAATGGAAAATTCTAAAATCTAGCTTACAAGCTAATTAAAATAAAAACTCGTTACTTTTAAGATTAATTATACAATATTGACGCAATAATTTGATGTAACGATTTAGTTATATTATTTTAAGCTAAGAAATCCTAACTAATAGATTGTAATTTACGTGTACCTTTGTGGATAGCTACTAAAATTAATATGCTGTTGGCATTTGTGCTTGCTTATACATATCTACATATTGTGAGTAAAACTTATACGTCTTAAATTTATATATGTTTAATGTTTTAAATTTGTCAGTTGCTATAGTATTTCACTGAATTTATATTTTGAAACACAGTAAATTAATCGGAATTTATGACTAACTAGCTAGTATGTTAATTCTTATAACTGAAATAATTAACAAAATTATTTTAATTGTAGCCATATTATGCAATTACTATCTCAAAGACTTTAAGGAAAGTTTTTTGGTCAGTGTTCAATGATTTTGGTATTTATAGGCCTACAACTAATCAATTTTCTATCATAAACCATTTATTATAATATTAACTTGAAAAACATAACTCGTTATATAATTTAAAGAGCTGAAAAATCTCTATAAAATTGGCTGATTTGAATTTTGGTATAGTAGCATTTTAAGATTTCAGCCCATTATCAAATTTATGAATTCGTCGTTACAAATTTAGATTTATAAGAGGGAAGATGAAATATTTGAAGTAATACAGAAATTAACTCTACGAACCTACTATCAAATTTTTCCTCCGTAATATTTACCTATAGTACGGTATGAATCTAAATACTGACAATAGGAGATCGTCAGGAAGAATATTGATTAACTCCACGCTAGTCTCTCGTGAGCAACACTGAACCCAAATTTTATTGAGAAATTGTTCAACTTATACTAAATCTGCGTAAGCATTACTTATAAGTTTATAAATAATATTATAAAATTATGCACTTGTCTATTAAGAGAATATTTAACGCCATAGATAATGTAATGTTATCTGACGTAAATAAGATATACATTTTGTAGGAAAGGTCACTTCTTGATAATCAGGAAGAATCGTAACTTTTTAAAAATACAACTTGATTAAGTTGGTGTATTTAATCGTTCAGTATCGTTTGCTTAACTCCATTAAACGAGGGAAACTCATCGTCACCCTATTGGAAAGATAATCAATACGTTAATTGTCTATACGAAACGTATCATTTTAGAATAATTATGTTTTCGGAATATTACTTCTCAAGAGAAACATTCATTTATATTTTATAAAAGCGCCTACTTTCTTTACTATTGTGTAAACTTAATCACGATAACTTTACTATATATTACTTTTAAATTTTTTTAGTACTAATCTTGAAAGAATTGTTAGTAACGTTTAGTTTGCTGCTTACATGAGTTACTACTGTACTACACTAAACTAATAGATTACTTATGCCTTGCTCCACTACACCTGAAGATCTACTGTATGGTAGTTCTATACAGTATAGTTATAGTTATATAGTATAGTTTTTATTAATAAAGTAGCCGAGTACCTTTTCGTACACGATCTAATAAAGAACTCAGGAACTGAGCATTTGCTCGTCCTTTTATACCCTTCAACTAAATTTGTGGTGCTTACATAGTAACTTGACAATATAAGATTTACATAATTTGTATAGAAGGACAAGCCTCATTAAACTATATAGTTTACTATAGACACAAGTACGTAAACAACTTTAATTAGCAATAACTAATTAATAGCCAATTAGACCCTTGAGGCTCTGCACGATAATGGCGCGTTCGCAGATGGTGCTAACGTGTCGCCATTATTAATATCTATATAGGCTCTACTAATTAATTGTAAAATACAATTATGCCTTTTGTTGTCTAGCAATCTAGACATTATTAATATTCTTAATTTCAATTATCACTTACGAATATGATCTATTAGCTAATGTCACAAACCAGCTTCGTGACAAGGATAACGTAAAATAAATCTCTTAATTACTATAGTCTCCGGGATTCAGTATCCCTTAACTATCTCACAAGAATTTAGACGCCTTTGATTCTACATTAAACTCAACTAGACAATTGAGAACTACTTTATTCTACTATCTGACGGGCTTATATACCCTTCTACAGCAGCTAACATTCATGAGTCATCTTATAAAAATACTTTAGTGAGAACATCTACTAACTAATTTTTCACATTCGGACTACAACATATTCATTCACAGAATCATTTCAGTGCACATTACAGCACAGCATTAAATTTACTGTAACACATTTATAATTAGAGTAATTCCTATTGTAAGTAACTAGTTTTAATATATTATCACTATATTATATTTACCAAGTTTAGATAGCTATTTCTTCACGGTAGTTCGTACCGTGACAGCTAAATACTAACAAAATCTATTTAATTAGCAAGTATGGTGCTTTGCTCCGTAACACTCCCCCACACTAAAATAAAACCCAACATATAAGAGTAACTACTGACGTAGAAGCAGTATTTCTGGATACATTCCTGCATATTTAGTATAGTAGATGATTAAAAACTCATTAAAGAAAAACTATAAGGTAGCGTTTTAGGTATTTCTAAGGAATTGATACTCGTTCAGCTTTCCAGTTTCAATCACGATTAAATAAAATTCTCTAGATGTTCCTATGATAAATTCAATGTCTATTTGGTTGTTAAATTTTTAATGAATCTTTACATTTGTTTATGAATTCAGTTTCTATTCTCTTAATACTTTATTACACTAAAATCTTAAGTCTAATTCTTAGTTTAAAGTGTAGTAAGGAATTACCATAGAACTTAAAGTAATCAATCAAATACCACGGCATTGTATATTATTTTCTATAACTTTATAAGCAAGTAAATAAATTTATTTAAGTAGATTTTATATCATAGATTAGGTTTTTAAAGAGTGTTTATCCATACAGTTTTGATTTTGTATTGTGCTATAGAATACTTTTCTGATAATGATCACCGAATTAACTGTTGATTGGATCAAAATTACCCCAAAATTTTTGTAATTTTGAGAGAACTAAATCTATTAGCATATTGAACTAGATGACGGATTTGGAAACCGAAATTCTATTGCAATAATATCGTGAAATTCTGACAATCACTCAATAGATTAAAATTTGACACAATTACGGAAGAGCACGGTGTTTAATATAGAAAATTCACTGTTCTGTTAATTGTTGTCAAAGATGACACTAGATCCTTGAATAAAATCGTGCAACATTCTAATTCATATTATTTTGAAGGCATATAATACGCTAATGCTCTCTTGGCCTCGGTATTTGTCTCATAACTGAAATCAGAAAAGGATTGCAAAAAATTATTTTTTGTAATTGTACACGTAGATCGTGCATGTGAATGCTTTGTTGCCCCTATCAATTTTAAATATTAAACTTTAATAATAAAGCGATAACCGACATTCACTATATTGATATGAGTAAAGGAATTCTAACTGGTCTTTTCATATTCTTTCCATTCCTCTTTATATTATATTTAAATTAACAATCGAAAACGACATCAGAAAATTGTAAACCAGGTCTCAAATATAGAATTTGAATACTTACTCAATCGGAAGCTATATAGCTAGTTAGTAAGAATGTCCATCGTCACAAATTCGTTATGACATACTCCAATCGAAAATAAAAGTCTACTGCGGCTCTCATAGAATGTGTTTTCCCCTCTCACACAATAGATCAAATAAATTCATTCTATTGATAATTCTTTAACAAAAAACCTACATTATCCGCCTATAATTTTTAATAGTACTGATACTAAAGAATATTGACCAATTTATTTGTCCTGCTATATAAAAAATATTAAGCTTTTCTTTGTTATTAGAACTCCGATGAAAAATATTTAGTCAATCATCATTTTATCTAGCACGCTATGCTCGGTGCTATTGGTATTCATACTGCTATATTATCCATCAGCATTGAACTTAGTTGTGAAGCACATCGATAGCAATATTGGCTTATATGATTTATGAATATTGTATTAAAATGGCAGAAAAGATTTTAAGAAATACATCAAATTCGTCTTTGCCACTGCATGATATCTTTGCATTGCCGTTAATTACTATTCAGTTCACCATAATTTTCAACATACTTACCAGTTGTATTAGTCTACTAGCTAATACGTACATTTTATATGTTATCTATATAAATAAGAATTTAAGAAAACCATCTTATTATGCTTTAGCCAATTTAGCAATCGCAAATATAATGGTGGCTGTCTTGTATCCTATTCCGCTACTTGTCACTTTTTTATCTGGTATACCAGGGAAGCAGAATTCCAAGACATTAATTCAAATCATCTGTGGCTTTATCCGACCCTTAGCAGTTACAGCCGTTATGGTAGTTAACTGTACATTAGCTTTTATTGCAATAGATAAGTATCGTACGCTAGTTTACAAGTCCAATTCAACTCGACGTACAAGTATAAATCTTCGGACAACTATTTTAATCATAATCGGTATATGGGTGATAGGATTACTTCAGCAATGGCCGCGCACGATTCTTGTACTCCGAAACAGATCGGCCGCCAGATTTTGCCGGTTTTTTCCTAATCCTCAATTTCAGATGTCTATTAAGCTTACAATATCTACAGCTAATATTATTATCCCTTTCATTATTATGCTGGTTTGCCACTATAAAATCGCAAATAGTTTA